TTCCAGCCCTAACCAATGTAAGAGGATCTATACTGTATTTGTCAGGGCTCTCCAGAGAAACAGAGCTGATGGCAATGAATGGATGGATAGATAGATGACTGATATGTAGATAGATGGATGGATGGATGGATGGATAGATAGATAGATAATAGGTAGGTAGATAGATAGATAGACAGATAGTAATTGACTCACATAATTTTGGAAGCTAAGCCCTAAAATATTCTATCTGCAAGCTGGAGAACCAGGAAAACCGGAATATAATTCAGTCTGAGTCCAAAGGCCTGGGAATCAGAGAAGCTGAAAGTGTAACTTCCAGTCTTCAGGGCCGGGTTGCTGCTGGTGTAGGTCCTAAAGTCCGAAGGCCCAAGACCAGAGGGTCCAATGTCTATGGGAGGAAGGAAATGAAGGTCCCAACTCCAGAGAGGTAAGTCACCTTTTCCTCCTCCTTTTTGTTTAATTCTGACTCTCAATAGACTGGATGGTATCTGCCTGCATTGGTGAGGATAGAGCTTTACTAAGTCTGCTGATTCAAATGCTAACCTCCTCTGGAAACAGCCTCACTGACACATCCAGAAATGTTTTACCAGCTAGCTGGGCAGCCCTAAGCTCAGTCAAGCTGACACATAAAATTAACCACCACGTATGCCAACCAAGGTTGGCAAGGACGTGGGGACATGGGGACATGGGAACTCTTGTGCACTGCCAATGATGAAAATACAAACTGGTACAGACATTTTATTATTTGGGGTTTTTTCTTGGTTGTTTTTGTTTTTCTTAAACATGATCTTGCTATGTAGTCCAGGCTGCCCTCCAACTCACAATCTTCCTGCCTCAGCCTCTCCAGTTCTAGGATTACTGGCATAATGCATGCCACATCCTGGGTGGTACAGGCATTTTTAAAAGCACTCTCACACCATTTTGCATCATCTGTATGTAGAATCCTTTTGACTAACTGATGAAATTTCTGGATCTATATCCCCAACAAATTCAAATTCTTAAGAGGTCACAAAACTGGTCTGCACATTATATGTGGTAGTTGGCTGCTGGAGGTAACCCAAGTGTCCCTCATTAAAAGACAAGAAAAGTAAAATGTAATAGAATTTTGCATGTGTGTGGAATGAGAAAATTAGGAAACAATCAAAAATTTGACACAGTAAATTTGCATGTTAAAAACATCTAGTTGCGGGTTGGGGATGTGACTCAAGAAGTAGAGCATCTGCCCAGCAAGCATGAGGCCCTGAGTTTAAATGCCAGTACTGCGAAAAGGCAAAAAAATCAACAAACAAAACAAAAACCCATGTAGTTGTGATAATACTGCCAATTTTACATGATTACATGCATAAGTACATATATCAAACATGTTAAGGAAGACTTCTATGGAGGAAACAGGAGAAGGTATGAAAATTAAAGGACAAAAAATGAAATATGAAAACAATAAAGGAGCCTTGCACAGACTGGCCTTCCACTGAGTGAGTTTGATTAAGCTCTTCCCACCTACGGTTCATTTTTAAAACTATGTTATATGTATACATATAACTGTAGTAAAGTGTCTAAGAGGGTATATACTAAAATACTAACAGTGGTTATCTCACTGAGTGCTATTAAAGGTGAGTCTTTTCTTTTTGCTACACTGAATAATTATTGTGTAATGAGTGAAATGCATTTTCTTATATTTTAAAAATTCATCTTACTACTCAGAGCTACTTTCTTGCTGTTGGATAAACGCATAATAACCTTCTAAAATCAGCTGCTTGTGTGGCCACAGTCATTTTATTGTTTTTCCAGAATGTTCCAAAATAGCTCTGGAGCAAGACAAGTGGGACCACCAGATAGCTATCTAGCCTCACCCTTCTTCCCATGCAAATGAACACCAAGCCTCCAACCCAGCTTTGGCAGAAACCTCTGTGGGCCTCAGGAGAACAAGGGCCTCTCCTTCTCTGCTGGGGATAGGAGGGGCAGCCCTCATAACTCTCTCAGAGGCGGCTCAGAACATCCTCTGAAAAGCTGCCTTGAGCAGCAGCTGCCAAGACAAAAGGTCCCACCTCATGAGTGGAAACTCTATTTGCAGCTTTGTAGACACAGGTGTTCTTCCAGGCGACTTAAGACCTACAGTGTGGGACTGTGTTTGGCCAAGAATAGCTCAGAAGGCCTGCTCTCAGAAACCAGCTCTTGAGGCCTCCAGTGTATGTTCTAACTATATTTGGCAATGCAAACCAAAGAGGTCAGTGGCTTAACTAAGGGGAGAAAAGGCTATTCCTGATTTATAATCCCTGCCTTAAACCAGAACCAAGAATTTAAAATTTACTTCATTTATTTCGCACGTATCTAGCTTACTGCTGAAGACACTATCTTTCCCCATTCTACTAGCCCCCATGGGAATCTGTCAGAACCACAGGTGCAAATCACCTACCCAGGTCATCACTGAGTAGAGGACATTTGGGGACAACTGGCTTGAGAACCCAAATGTTAAAATTATCCCACTTCTTATGTCTTCATAGCATCAAAATAGCCTGCGGCACTTGGGTACAAATCCAGGCTCCACCACTTAGAACTCACTGTGTGACCTTGGCCAAGTTACTTTCTGTCTCTGAGGTTCAGTTTCCTTATCTACAAGCAGAGATAATACCTACTTGACAAAGCTGCTGTAAGAAGTATATGAGATAAGGGATATAAAGTGCCTAAGAGAGTATCTGACACCAGACAAGCGCTAAAAAAAGAATCAGCTTCCATTTCTCCACCTCTCTCTCCCCTTCACCCTTAGCTGTTCGACCAAAGTGTTGACTTTTCAAGAAATTGCCTGGTCTCCTTGGTTGATTACAAATGCATGGTAGTATTCCCACAGCCAGCAACGGTAGCTGCAGATTTAAAAAAAAAAAGTGTGACTATTCTCAACTGCAGACAGGTCGAATCAGCTCACAAATGACTCATCACTCTTGATAAATGATGAGTTCTTGGCATCAAAGAGTCCTATCCTGATAGGCTTAGCACCTTACTGAAAAAAAAAAAAACCAAAACACTGGCTGAACAGTTTACAGAGAAGGGTCCAGGGTTCCACTGTGACCTTTAGTTAGTCCTGAATATGTACCAGGCTGATTATAGGAGGGTTTCTGTCTGCTCAGAAATGTTGCCAGCCACAGGGATGGTAGCAGGAAGGACTCCAACTGAGCAGCTGTCTCTTTGCTCTCAGACTTGAACCCTTTCTGCTTCACTTGTCTTTGATTCCCTGAAGTCATAAGACTCCCTCAGCAGAAGGCTAGATGCCCATTCCCTACTCACAGAAGCCTTAAGCTAGTGCCCAACCTGCCTTTGGCAGCTTTGTCTGGTGGCTGACACTCTTGCCAGGGTGAGGTTTGGCTGGAGGGTTCTGTGGCTCAAACTCTGACTCCAGGAAAAGGGTGTTTAATCTTGAGTCACTGTCTGTTAAGCCAAAGTGGTCTCTGCTCTCCGCAGGTTTGGTAGCCCCTGCAGGCCACCCAGAACCCACTCCTGCACAGACGTTGCATGACTAGTGTTTTTTGTCACTCCTTCATTCTTCCATACTTTGTACCTTTCCATACTTGGCACAGGTCCCTCTAAGTGAATATTTATTAAGAGGTCCTTCGGGTCAGGAGAGTCTGCTGCTGCATTTGGAACACTCTCAGTGAAGCTCACAAAATTCTTAAGATCAAGTAGGACACTGAACTGCATGGGACATACACTGTCAACAGCCAGGTGCCCACAATTGAGGTCTTGGATGGAAATTCCCTGTGCTAGGGTCTATTTCTTTCTATACTGAGACTGCTTCTGAATCAGGTTGTCTTGGATCTAGACCTAGGACCAAGTCTTTCTGTGTGTATGCAGCTGCTTCTGCCATCCTAGCCCTTACTAGAAGGCCCTGAAATGTGCCATTGAGACAAAATCCCCAGTAAGAGATAGACCACCCTAGAAAAGCTTCCATCTTCCAAACCACTTCCAGGTTCTCCTCAAAAGGGAGGTTTCTCTGATCACCTAGAGGCACAGACATTTCAGCCATGCTTTGAAGTGGAAAGGCCAGCAAAGTGGACTCCAACGTAGATCTTCAGGTTATTGACTGAGACAAATTGAAAATATAGATCAAAATCAGGGGAGCCTTTTCCTTAGGCAGGTATTGCCTCACCTTACCCCATCCTCTGTCCTAATCGTTCCCATGTGCCCCCCCACCTCCCCCGTGCCCTTCCAGTCATTCAGTGAGGGCTTCGTGCTTAACGCCTCTCAGCGGAACCAGGACAACCTTCTAAGATGATAACGCACACAGAAAGCAAGGAAGAGGAAGGAAGGAGGGAGGGAGAGAAGGGAAGGCCAGAGAGAAGTGGAGAGAACATGAAATAGGCTTGGGATGGAGGAAGGAAGAGGAGAGCAACCAGGAGAGGCGGAACAATGAAGGTCTCAGGCCGTCGGAGGCGCACGGTTCCGGCTGCACGTCCGTCCCGCCCGCCTCCGGCCAGCAGCTGCACGCCGCGCAGCGTGTGGGCGCTGAGTCACTGTCCCAGAACTGCGAGCCGCCGCGCAGGTCGGGGGAGGGGGGCCTAGTTGGCATCTGCATGCTGTTTTTTTTCTTTTTTTTTTTTTTCTTTCCTCTTTCATTAAGGCTGTGTGCTGACTCCCACGTAGGAGAACTTATTAAACCGCACGTACCACCTCATGGCTGTTGGGGCGCATCCGTGGCGGCCGGCAGGGGGCGCCACAACCTCGCTTATGCGCCTGCGAGCTTTTGGGGCGCTCGAGCTGAGAGGACTGAAGTTACTGGCTGCAGATTTCCCGGAGATGTCGGAACATCTTGCAGGAGTTAGGTGCTAACTTTAACACCCGCAGCTGCAGGATGAGCTCTCCATCGAAGAAGACGCAAAGACCAGCTCAACTCTCCGAGGCGGGCTTTTCCCGCAGGGTTCCGTGAGCAACTCTAGAAAACTGGGACTCCGTTGCGCACCCGGGGTCCCAGGCTCACCTTCCTCCGCCTGGTCTGGCCGCCACGCGAGGCGGTGACCTCAGGCGTCTCCGCGAAGCCCTGACCCTCATCCAGAACACGCGCTCTACGTGTCCCACGAGATCAGAGCTCGTGACAACTAAACCCGCGCAGAGAGGAGCAGGCACTGCTGTCCCACTTTCCCAAACCAGGCGGCAAGGACCAGGACCAGATTCCTCCCTAGATTCGTGAGCCGAGAATGAATCAGCATTGAGACAGTTTATTGGTTTGCTGTTCGCATATCACCCATTTTATGTAAATAGATTGTACAGAGACAAGATGTTTCCTTCTTCCACAAGCGGTCGTCAGGCACTCTGTCACACACACACACATGCACACACGCGCGCGCGCCACGAACCAGACGTTACACCGCACCGAGACATTCATTTCTTAAAATAGGGGGAGGGGACAACATAATTGCTTTAAAATGCCCTTAATATAATATATAACGTACAAAAATATCTCTATATATTTGAAGTTACAAAAAAAATCTTGACAGAAACAACTTAAATATTGATAGTTACCTCTGTATGTACAACACGCATTGCACTTTTCCTCTCTAGGTTTTGGAAAGTTCAAGTAATACTGAGGCTTGAGCCCCGGTGGGGTGATACCCCATGAGAAATCAGTTTGCGGGCGGAGAAGGCAGGGACTCGGTCCCCTGCCCCGAGGGTCTCGGCATTTAGTTGTTTGTCCTCTCCGTGAGCCTGGCACTCCCTCGGATCCGAGCAAAGGGAGCGCTGCCCCTGAAGGGGAGGGGGCTCTGCCAAGCCTGGGCTGATGGCCGAACGGTGCCTCTCGGATTGGAGGTTTCTCAGCAGGACTGTCTCAGCCTGGTTTCAGTCCCAAGCCCTCTGCTTCGGGAAGCGCCAGCGGGACGCTTGAGCGACTGTTCAATGCTGCCAGGGGCACCTAAATCCTAAGGAGGTCCTCTAGTGCTTGGTGCACCCGGGCGGCCGGAGCTGCTCGTGCCTGTGGCTCGGAAGACACCAAAGTCCGGCGGGCCTCAGGCAGAGATCGCCGGCGCCGGCGGCCGTAGCCTTGGGGGCTGATCTTGTTCCTGGGGGCTACGTTGTCCTTGTCCTTGTCTGTGAACTGGTAGATCTTGTGAGCCAACTTCTGCACCGTGCACGTTCCGAAGCGACAGCCAAAGGTGCGGAGGCCCTGGAAGTTGTTCATGCTTTGGCGATAGCGCTTGACTCGGATGCGGGCGGCGTCTGGACTGCTGGGGAGAAGGAAGGTAATTTGAGACCCCATCAAGCGGGACTTTGGCCCCAGTCACCGGGGATGCGAGCCATTATAGGACCCTAGAGAGCTGGAAATTGCTCCGGCCATCCGAGCTGCAATCCAGCCTTGAGTATCCCCGGGATCAGGATCTTGGTGAGCGGGAGATCACCGGTGCCCTGCACCGGGCATAGTTACCTGGCTTGGGGGCTGCGAGAGGCGCTCTTCACGTCCTGGGACCGAACAAGAGTCTGGATAGGCCCGGCCTTCACTTCAGCGAGCCCGGTGGGGTAGCTGCTGGACACTCGCAGTTCCCTCTTCCCACGACTCAGAGCCCACTTATTCCATCTAGAAAATACAAGCAAAATCCTATTAGCATGTGTCCAAGAGAGGTCCTGGCCTGCTCCCCCTCCCACGTCTAACCCCTCGGGACAGTTTCCCCTTGTCTGCCAGGTACCGGGACTCACTTCTTTCGGAACTCGGACGCCACGTCCAGCCGCGCGGTATCTGCGCCCAGGAATGCGAGTGAGCCCAGGAACATCAGGGCGATGGAAACTAGCTTCATTCTGGCGAGGTGCAGACCCTGGAAAAGGAGAGAGAGGAGCGGAGCATGAGTGCCGGGCCAGCTGCACCGCCCAGGCGGGACACGAAGGACGCGAGGGGACCCCGGTGCAGACAGACCCAGTCCGCGCTCTGCTCAGCGCAGTAGCTTATCTCCCCCCGGCGCAGAGAGGCGCCAGAGGCGTTTGCACCCGCCCGGCGGGTGACAGGCCCTGCAGGGGAGGCCGCTGCACAACACCAGGCTCTCAGAAGTTCCCTGCATAACTCCTTGGATCTCTGGAGCTCCAGCTGTGTGCATGAGCTGTACCTGGGATGTGGGGTGTACCCCGCGGAGGACCCCCCCAAAGTGGGCTGTTCCCTCACCCAGCGTTCCCAGTTTTGGGCCTCAGCAAAGCCCCTACCCCCACCCCTCTGGGCCTGCGGCACCTACCTGCTAAAGGGGTGATTGGCAAGTACTTGGAAGAGAAAGTCCGAGACGTCCCTCTGACAGAGGCGAAACCTCAAAGTCCAAGACTGAGTGCGATGAGAAGCCAGAAGTGGTAAGGCTGGAGTTGCTCTGTCTAGTGTCACCAAGAAACCACTGAGTGGCTAGCTCCGGTTCCTGCGCTTTATATGCGCTCAGGGGCGGGGCCTGATTTGCCCTCGCGCCCTCCCTTTCCTCGGGCAATGCGCGCGCTTCTGCACTCGGGCGCGCGCATTGCTTGCCTCTGTTGGTGGGGTTGGGAGGGGGTCCCTTTTATCCAGAGAGCTAGGAGATGGGCTCCAGGACGTTGGTGCAGAACTGCCACAGCCCTAATTTTCTGGCGCAGGGTTCAGACCGGCGAAGGAAGGTCATTGAAGCTTTTGAGGGGCCTTTCCCCAGGGACTGTACAGCCCAGAGTGCGCGGCCTCCTGGCATACAGTTGCAAGAGCCAGTGGGGGTGGGGGGCGCGCGGATGTCCCAAGCTTGGGACCTGGGGAGCTGTGGCCTCAAGTGGGTCGCGCCCCCTGCCGGCTGAGCGCCTGACCTAGCCTCGACCCCAGACTCCTTCGGAGTCCCAGGAGCAGGGTACTGAGCCCAGAGGGGTGGGGCTCACCAGTCTCCCCACCCCCCCCCCGGGGAGCTGCCAAGATCCCGGGGTGTCTGGATGGGCTAGTAAGATTTCGCAATAAGGGCAAAGCTCGGAACAGCTGAATTGAGAACTGGGGCTTGGGGGGTAGTTATCTGAAGTTTCAGAACTTACGTGAGTATTTGGAAACACAGGAATAACCACAATTAAGAAAAAAAATACCGTTTTATTTCCCCTTCCTTTGTAACCCAATTAAGCCTTATAAGGTTATAACCTGAGAGTTTGCCTGGCTGCCTTCATTCACCCATTGTAAACGTGAGGATTGACTGCCAGAGAGCACACTAATGCTTCACGTATGTTAATCGCTTTACAGTTTACAAAGCGCAGCCACATCCCACTCTCTTTTGATCTTTACACTAAGCTTTGAGTTAGGTGAGGAAGCTATTATTTTTCCCATTTCACCAAGTATAAAATTGAAGTTCAGACAGGGTATGTAGGTTGCCCCCAAATCACTGTCAAGTAAGAAGCAACAGAATCCTAATTCGGCCCCGGCAAGCAAACACAAAAGACTGGGGCGCGGCGGCGTGGATTCTTCTAGGCTGGGGTCACCATCTCGTCAAGGGGGAGAGTAGAGTCCCAGCCCCCGCCGGAGGATATGTGCCTATTCATGATGAATCAGTTGAAACACGTTTGTCACCCGTTTGTGCTCTTCTCGAAGATTATTGACCTCACTTTCTTATTTCCCTTCTAGGGGTCAAACTGGGAGGCTCAGCCCCATGGGGCTCCCTACTTCTTCCATGCGGGTATCTAGTGACCTGTCCCCCATTTGTCCCCACTCGAATGTTCTGAAGCCCAGCGACTGGACTGAGAGGCCAAGGGTGCAAGACCACTGACTAGACCAGCTTCTAGTCCTATGTCCCTGGCAATTCGGGTGTGGACAAATCATGTCCTTCTCTCTAGTATCCCCATCTAGAATGTGTCTCCCAGCAGATCTCTAAGCTTCCTACTTGCTCTGCCATAATGGTTCTGAAACCCAGTGGGAAGACAGCTGGGCTCTGGGTCCCGTGGACCTTGCCCACAGCATGGTCTGGGCTGAGCAATGCTGGCTCAGCTGACTCTTCCAGTCTCGAGACTGAACCGTGGACATTGCACCTGGGGAAGAAATGGCGCACGGAGGTTATTTATTCTGAGGACTCATACCGGAGGGAGTCACCTGAGTAGACCTGAGTTTCACCTGAGGGTAGATTCCAGGCTCTGGTTTTGGTAAGGGCTTAGGACGCTGAAGGTCAGAGCGGGGTGCAGCGGGGCCAACTGACTGGTCTTGGGCCGCCTGGCTGGCCGGAGAACCGTCACCGCAGCAGACTTGATCTGGCAGCTGTTCTGTCTTCACTGCGGACAGCAGGTACTGCAGGGGCCCCCACCGTACCCCTGTCCAGCATAACTATTGCTTTTCTCCGTATCTTCTCTTCACTTCCTTCCCAAGATCACCTTCGCTGGAGCCTGTCCAGGACGGGCTGTCATGGTCTGTGAGTATGCCACCTACCTGTCTCCAACTTCCAGCTGGGTTCGTATCAGATCAGGTTTTACTTTCATTTCCCTCGGCGTGCGCCTCCGACTGCCCAGAAGGTCAACGACAGCTGGGCGTCTGTCCACAGCCTGGGAAGGTCCGGTGGTCTGGACTTGTGCCTTCCAGTCCCCACCAGCCCTGAGGGGTTCTGTCTGCAGAGGACTCTGCGGTCCTACCTCATTCCCTTCTAGCTACGTCCTTGGGAAAGTTGGTGATTGAGGGAAACTGAGCTCTCGCTTGGGGGCAGGATCGCCCAGCGTTCTTTGAGCTCAAACTTCTCTGTGAGCGGCAGGAGGCTTCCACAAGGAAAGCAAAGCCAGGAGCGGAAAGACCTTGAGCAGCTCGGCTGTACCAACCCGCTGTGCCTGCCTAAGCCAGTGGCATTGAAGCTGTGCCAAGAATTCCCACCTGAGAATCTTGGCACGCGCCTTATCGGCCTGGATGCTCTGTCACTCTGGCCCTTGAAACATCTGTCTCTTGACAACCGAGCCAATCAGAGGATTTTGCTAGAAAACCCATTATCTTGGAAAGTGTGTGTTTGTGGTTGGAAGCAAAGAGTTTCCCAAACTGAAAAGATAAGGTAAGGGAGGCAAAATCCGGGCCTCTATTTTTTTCCCTTGTGGAATTGAATTGCCTTACTTAATTATCATTAAAGAAAAAAAATACTAGAATACTTTTTGGGTTCGGTGGTCCTATGTAGACTGAAACATCACAGCGGGAGATCTGTTCCTACTGATTTATTACTCCAGAGTTTCTCCATTCAAATTGCAATGATTCTCAATTCACATAAAGCACTGACAGTGGAAGGAAGGAAGTGGGGAGGGGAGTAGGAGGAAGGGGAGGGAAAAAAACATCTTTAAAATCTTCCTGGCGAGAAGAGAGAGAGAGAAAGAGAGAAAGAGAACCTGGTTAATGAAGATCCACTTTTTTGTGTGTCCAATAATTTTTTTAAAAAAAGGTAAGCCCAGTGTTGTGGTGCATTCCTCTAATCCCAGCACTCAGGTGGCTGAGAAAGGAGGATTGTGGATTCCAGGCCAGCTTGAGCTACACAGGGAGACCTGTCTCAAAGAAGTTTTTAAGGTAAGATTATAAGTACCCCAAAGCATTGCATTAATATGCACATTCTGACATGCAGACAGACACATACACATATGCTAACTGCTTGCTGAATAATGGTGTTTTAACTTCTTCCTCACATTCCAATTAAATTTTTAGGCCCTAAATCCAAGCCTTATTCTTTGTAATGTCCGGAGTTTAAAAAAAAAAAAAAAAAAAGTATGGTGGTGGTTTCCCAGTTAAGACTGCGGACTCAGTCCCTAAAGCTAGGGTGACTGCACTTGGGTCTTTCAGAAAAGCAATGAGAAACAATAAATAATATTAATGACTTTGATAAGAATAAAACATGAGCAGTTAAGTACATTGTATAACAGTCTCAGATGCCTCTTTTTTCCAAACAGGAAATTTTATGATGCCTTTATTATTCACGTAATACAAAATGCCTGTTATGCTTAGGGCTTGTTTACAAAGTTCTCTTGAAAACAAGGTTCAAGATGCATCCTGGAGTCATAACATCAAGTTGTTTACAGAAAGGACACAATCAGCCTTGCGGATTTAGTCTCACAGGGAGAAGTAAACCAGGATACAAAGCCTCCGGCATGCGTGGGAATCTCTGACCCCTCAAAGGTGCTACCAAAAAATGAATGCATACATAAAACCAATGAAAATATAAAATAGGCATATAATTTCAGGACATTGACCAAGCTAAAAACTCTGACACCAAATGAAAAGCACTCGTTCTTTTCTTTTCTTTTTTTCATTCACAGTTTATTTAGCTCACAGCTGTAAGTCCAACCAGCATGGCACAGGCTCTAGTGAGGGCTCTCCTTAGCTGCATCACTCACGGAGGGAGCATATGCATCAGAAAGCACTCTTTCTGTGTCTCTAATTTCTGTCTGTTTTGGAGTGGTAGTGACAGGGGGGAAGAGTTAACCTCTGTCTCTAAGACAAAAATATTTTCCAGGGCATCAGCATAAAGCAAAGTAATGCTTTTTGTGCCTTTTCTTTTCTTTTCTTTCCTTCTTCTTCTTCCTCTTCTTCCTCTTCTTCTTCCTTCTTCTTTTTCTTCTTCTTCTTCTTCTTCTTCTTCTTCTTCTTCTTTCTTCTTCTTCTTCTTCTTCTTCTTCTTCTTCTTCTTCTTCTTCTTCTTCTTCCTTCTTCCTTCTTCTTCCTCTTCTTCTTCCTCTTCTTTCTCTTCTTCCTCTTCTTCCTCTTCTTCCTCTTCTTTCTTCTTCTTCTTCTTCTTCTTCTTCTTCTTCTTCTTCTTCTTCTCTTCTTCCTCTTCTTCCTCTTCTTCCTCTTCTTTCTTCTTCTTCTTCTTCTTCTTCTTCTTCTTCTTCTTCTTCTTCTTCTTCTTCTTCTTCTTCCTTCTTCTTCTTCCTCTTCTTCTTCCTCTTCTTTCTCTTCTTCCTCTTCTTCCTCTTCTTTCTTTCTTCTTCTTCTTCTTCTTCTTCTTCTTCTTCTTCTTCTTCTTCTTCTTCTTCTTCTTCTCCTCCTCCTCCTCCTTTTTGGTGCTGGGATCAAGCACAGGGCCTCACACATGTGAGGCATGTGCTCTACCACTGAGCTATGTCCCTAACCCAGTGCTTATGCCTCATTTTTGTACTTCTGCATAAAACAAAAACAGTCCTTATACATGATGAAGCCAGAGAGTAAACCTCCTTAAAGCTCAAAGAAGGTAAGTTTTGCAGGATACAGAGAAGGTAGTAAGCACAAAGAAAGGTTGTTATACTAACAGCAATAACAGAACAAGATAAAATGACTTCATGAGAAATATACTTCTGATAGCACAATAAATGGCACATTCATGGTGAATGATACAAGAGACGATTAGACATTTGGGGTCATCCCTAACCAAAGAGAATGGAGAACAACAGTGATGCTACCCACCCCCAAACGGGGATCCTGTAACTC